CATTGATGTGCCCTTAATTTCGTCATCTATTATAGAACATTCTTCTTCTTTATTCTGCTTTGTTTCATGTCATCTAATGCCATTTGAACGCATTCAATCATAGTTTCATTCCATAAGTCGAGCAAGATCAACAAATTTTCTCAGATTGATTTTCTGATTGTTCGCAAGAAAACTGTGTTTGTACCACCTAAAAAAGCGTCATCGATTCAGTGTTCTAACCATTGATTCTCTCTATGCTCTTTCATATTGAATGAACTTGCACTATTTGATGGCTAATGCGCGCATCTTTGTTTGTTGATAAAGACAGTTGTACTTAAAACTGCAGTAGATCATCATGACAGAACAAAGTTCATTATCGTGATACTCAATCGAATAATATCTGGAAGAAGGAGAATACTTGTCTTTGAACATGGCAAATGTTAGTCTTTACATGAAACAAACGAAAATACAAAATCATCTGATAATATCGAACGATAAGAGAAAGAAATAATCCCTAATTTCTCTGGTATGTGATGTGATTAAAAGGTTTCTCCACCATTCTATGTACATCCATTTTTATCAATCAGTTTTGAAGCAAACATCTGCAGTTCGTAGATTCATATTGATGTTTGGATATGCATCGATTGCTCACAGAAGATTCAACAAAAAAAACGTTCTGGATTATTCGAAAGTTTCTTTCGACTTGGAATTCTTTTTTCATACTGATAATATGATAAATTTTCATTCATTTGTTACCCACTTGTGTGAGGATATTGATTTTTATCTTCGTTTTTTTTTCTGGGACTAGTGCAATTAACCATCGAAATGCAATTGTACTTACTACATCTTTTTAAATTCTTGTGGGTGTGGGGTGTGGGTGTGAGTGTGGGTGGGTGTGGGTGTGGGGTGGGTGGGTGTGGGTGTGGGGTATGGGTGGGTGTGGGTACGGATGTGGATGTGCGTGTGGATGTGGGTGTGGGTGGGTATGTGTGTGAATGAAGAGAATATTCAGACTACACCCACACTCACGGCACACATCGATATCCATACTCACACATCCCAGCCACCGACATCCGCATCCGCATCCGCATCCACACCAATACCACCATCCACATTCACACCACCATCCACACCACCATCCACACCCACACTACCACCCTCATTCACACCACCGTCTACGTCCACACCACCCACCGCACTCACATCCACACCCACTGCTGCTTTATGCCTCCAAGACTGTTCTCACCTACGTGAGAAATTCTCATGGAGTAATCAAAACACATCCTGTTATTTTTGGTTAGTTTGACCTCAATCGCCGAAAATTGACTAACATCGACTAAAAATCGATGAAACTATCAATTGAAATATTTTTCCATCGAAACAGATTATTATCGGTGGGTTTTGTCATAAATGATCATCGATTAGATTAAAAATGCATGATAATCCATCAATATATCATTCACAATCATGGATTTTATTTCAAATCATTAGTAATCGATTACATGATTATATACTATCATCGGTGTTCATTGAAAACTATTGAAAAATGGATTTGTAGGTGAGTTTGGGTGGGCAGATGTGTGTATGCAGGTGTTTGTGGGTAGGTGGTTGCGTGAATATGGGTGGATATTGACGAGGTTGAGTTGTGCGGTAAAAAGAGACTGTCCAGAGCCACCCATCCACTCCTACTCACTCTCGACTCATCTACGAAACACAAGTATATTCAATAGTGAATGTTTTAACGTGTAAATAGCACGGATCACCAAAGAAACTGTCGCCCACAGTAAAAGAGCACTGTTGAAGGCCTTGGCAGCGGTTTTTCATCGTTGTTGTGACCGTCATGGCCGAACAATTACAGTATGCACATGTACAATTGGAACAACTTGATACGCCAAAAAATGCGTGAAAAATATTGAGTGTGAACGAAGTACTGCAAGTAAGGTTAACCGAGGTATTTTCTCCACATGTATAGGTAGTGTTCCCTTCACAAATAGAAAGTTGCAAAATAGTTCAAGTTCTGCTTTATAGAGAAAATTTTCCATACCAGGAGTAGTGGTGGTAGTGACCGTTGTGGTGGTCGTTGTTGATGTGCTGGCTGCATGAAAAATTTTTGAATGAGTGAAGTATTTAGAGGGTATGAATCATAAGAAGAGTTCTCGAATACGGAAAAGTTCTTCCAGAACTGATAGAACAAAGTTGTCAAACAACTCAATGAGTTTGGGCCGAGATTTGGTAGGTTCATATCTTGGAACTA